TGCCGTGTGGCCATTTCATTTACTAACTTTCATCATTTTGAAACACATTTCTAAATCCACGTCTAAGTTCTATAATAGGAATGAATGATATCTCTCCTCAGTGCGTATTCGTATTTATTTATCTTTTTGTTTGTTTTTGTTTTTTGCTTTCAGTGATCACTGTTTTTTAAAGACAGCGTTTCAATTAAGGGCAAGCAAGTTTATCTATTTATTCATTTCAGTGGCAAGATAATTCAAAGAGCTGTACAAGAGAAAAAAAAATAAAATAAATGAAATAATACAAATATATAAAGATTAAATGATTAATTAAAAAAACAGAAAATAATTTAAAAAATGGAACAAACGTTGGACAATAAACTGGAGTTTGAATGTTTCCATGTTTCCTGCTAATGAACCGCAGATCTTAGCTAGAAAATAACCAAATATTTCCTCACAAGAAGTGCAGATTTTGTCCAATGCAATTATGACCAGGGGTTAAGCTAGAGGAGGGGTCAGCGGGGCTGTTGGCCACCCCAGCCCAGTGCAACCCTCTGCTCACCCTATTCTATGTTTATAATATGTCGAACATAAATTAATTAAAAAGCGCTGAATATGTGTGCAGCTTTATTAGCAAGCGTCTCATGAAAATCTGGTCACTTCAGGGATTTATTTGGGAAATATAGATGCTTTTCAGGTTCATTTTTCTTTGTGATTAGTATAGATAGACCATGAACTGTTTTTGGCACCGATTTGTTTTCAGCTCCCCCCCTCAGTGCACAGGGATCCAACTATTAACATATTCTAGAACTGCCACTGATGGCAGAGGAAACCAAGCTTTAAGAGGAGGAAAAACTGCAGAGTCATCAACTCGATGTAATCAGCTTTATTTATACTTACTGTGTAGAAAAGGATCTGCAACTAACTATGATTGGAATAAAATCAATCTAACTATAGAGCTGGGCACATTTGGAACGATTTGTAAGGCCTTGGGAGGATCTCTAATGGGAACTGCATCATTATAAATGTAGTGAACAAAAACGGAGATCAAGAAAAAGAAAAGAAGAGCGATGGATAAAGAAATAAAGGGAGACAAAATCTGTAGCCATGGTAACCATCCCCTCCCTCTGCACATGATGTCGATTTTTTTGTCTTTTACCGAGGAGCATAAAAACCCCAGCAGCTCTCACATACTGTCTCATATGGGCACACTAACTCCCTCAGACACAAACACACAACAACAACAACTACAGTATCCTGGAGCCTGTCTGAGCTGTCAGTATAGATTAGTTCCTCTGTGATTGTCAGGCGGGAGGCGGATCCGGACAGAACCGGATTACATTTAGAGGAACTTTCAGGAGGTCCGTACCGACTGATTCCACCTACGCAGCTTCTAACGGTGGGAGCTCAACCATTAAGATCTGTGAAAGAAAAGACCTTTACCAAGGTTTTAATATCACAGCCAGTGAACAGCAGAGCAAAAACTTTACCTTTTTCAAAGAAAAGAGAATATATATGAAGGAAAAGCACAGCGTCATTAGAATATTTACAACACTATGGGGTTATGGCTTTAATTTCCAATCCAAATGTGCCCTTCATTAAAATATTAAAACAGAATATTTTGTATAAGGCCTGCATTACCAACAGCTTTCCCAGTTAAGATTTGCTCTTTCTAGGCTGTGTGTCATTTCCACAGCATGGAGCATCTCCCAAAGCTGCAGGAACCTTCAGATATCCGACCAGACGATCACTTCAGGAAACATTCAGAGCTAAAACAATCCATGCACTGTGTCATGATCACCGTCTTGCTGTTTTTGTGAAAAAGATTTTCATGTAATGCTCTTTTCCCTAACTTTTAATTCTGTTGTATTTTTTTTCTTCTTTAACGTGTTATTTTTCTAACACAGCTTAAATGTTTATTTTCTTTCAGAAATGTATATATCTAATAGCTCTGATTTTAGCCAATCCACAGCTGGAGTCTTTTTCTATGATCAGATCTATAATCAGGGCTGGCCCAAGCCTCCATGGGGCCGTGGGCAAAATTTAAATTTACAGTAGTGTATAGGATTTCCTGAAAG